GAAGGATTCACAGGATTCTGGTGACTAATTGCAGATGGAGGTTACGTAAAAGAGAGGCATCAAAGATGATTCTGAGGTTCTGAGCTAGAGTGACCCATTGAATGAGGATTAAAGAATAAGAACCTGTTTGGGATGGAGGTGGGGTTGATGAGGAGTCGAGTTTTAGATCTATTAACTTTGGAAATAGCCAAGAGAAAATGTCCGGAAAACAGTTTAAAATGTGGAAGCTAGAACTTAAGAGAAAGGTCAAGACTAGAAATATAAACATGGAAACATCTGCTTATAATAGCGGCGGCAACCTGTCTAGAGCAGCCACTGCAGGGACACCAGCTACAGTGTGGCCAGGGCTGCACACTCCATGGAGCCAGAGGGGGCCGGGAGCAGGCAGGAGCCCCACTCCCTACTGAGTTGGTGGGGCAGGAGCCCCATGCTCTCAGGTGCAGCTGCAGCTGTCCAGCCGCAGATCCAGACCCAGGCATCCTTGTACTCATGGGGGCTCAGAAGTGCCTGCTCCCGTTCCCTGGCCTCTCCCCACACCCGGCACCTGCTGCAGTATGGAACAAAGTTGTGACTGAGCCTGGGTGCTGATGCAACACAGCTGGGTGTGCACATGCTCAGGGCAGCATTGACATGCCAACCCTCTGCTGCCTCAGCCCCCTCTGGGCTTTGAGCACAGAAGGGAAGCCGGTGGGGCTAAGGGCAGCTTGTCGTGGGCCTGCAGGTACCCCTTGGCACAAACAGCCTGGGCACCCTGGACAGCATGTTGATGATGGTAGGAAGCAAACAGGCTCCTGGGCAGCAGGTGTGGCAGGTCCCTGGTGAAACCCCACCTTCAAACCAGGGATTACCTGAAGCCTGAGGGCCAGTTTGCCACCCCTGTGTGGAGTCTGCAGCCCAGAGTGAGAACTTGTGCTTTTTCCAGGCCCACCCATGGCCACCCATGGACCAATCAGCATGCACTTCCTCCCTTCTGAGCCCATAAAAACCCCCAGACTCAGCCAGACGTAGGGACTACCAGCTGCAGGAAAGAGCTACCCACTTGAGGTCTTCAGGTCTACTTGACTCATTGGGATGACCTGCATGCAGAAAGGAGCTACCCACTTTGGGTCTACTGAGAGCTATTCTGTCACTCAATAAAGCTCCTTTCTGCCTTGCTCACCCTCTAGTTGTCTGTGTACCTCATTCTTCCTGGACATGGGACAAGAACTTGGGACTCACCAAATGACAGGACTGAAAGAGCTGTAATACAAACAAGGCTGAAACATGGACCACCCCCCTCTGCCCGGCTCACCACATTGCTCACCCACATACCCCTCACTACCCCACGCCTGGCTCACCCTTGGCAAGTGTGGGATCCAGGCTGGTAGTGCAAGCTGAGCACAGCCTACCAGGCCACGTGGGTGGAACGAGCCCAGTTGGTGTGGACAATATTCAAGTATAAGGCTCCACTGGCCACAGAGGTTTCTGGCTGGCAAAGTGACACCCCAAGGATCCTATGACACTTAGAGATAATAGCTTAAAGCTACTAGAGTGGATGAGATTTGAGAAAGAGAATGAATAGAATGAATATGTGACCATAGACTTGTGTTAGGATTATATATCTCCAAAGACAGGGCAGGATAGATTGTAGAGGGCAGAAGTTCAGAGGCAAGAAAGGTAAGGACATAGTTATAGTCTTATGTTTGAGAAATGAAAGGAAAAAAAATGGGTAGTAGCTAAGTGTCTTAGTTTGTTCAGGTTGCTATAACAAAATACCATAAACTGGGTAGCATATCAACATCAGAAATTTATTTCTCGCAGTTCTAAAAGCTGGGTGATCCAAGACCACGGTGCTGGTAGATTGAGTGTCTGGTGTGGGCCTGCTCTCTGGTTCATAAATGGTGCCTTCTCCCTGTGTCCTCACATGATGGAAAGGGTGCAGGGCCTGTTTTATAAGGATACCAGTCATGCTCATGAGGGTTCTGCCCTCATGACCTAATTACCTCCCAAAGCACCCCTCTCCATTCCCCAGCCCCTTGTCCCTTGCCAATACCATCACCTTTGGGGTTAAAATTTCAACCTGAATTTCAGGAGGAACATATACATTCAGACCATAGCATTAAAGAAGGTGTTAAGTCACCTGAGGATGTCTTTAAAAAGATGTTCAGAATCATTTGGGGAAGAACTAGCCATATAAAAAAATAGGATGATGGATAATCCAAATGTCTTAGAATGGTGGAAGCCAATGGGATCTAGGGCAACATAGGCATTATAGCAAATCTAGACAAGGAGGAGGGCAGCAGCTGTCCAAGGATAGGTGTGAAGATAACAATAAGCAAATGTGCAACTACAGCAAGAATTAGTACCCTTTATTGAGTGTTTTTGTGTGAAATACTGTGCTTAGCACTTTGTTCTCTCCCTAAATCTTCAGCAGTTTTCTGAGATAGGGACAATTATTATATTCTCTGTAGAAATGAAAAATTGGAAACCATTTAAATGTCCATCAACATAAACATTTTAAAAATAAAGTATGGTATATCCACAGAATGTCATGTCCTGCAGTCACTTTTTTTTTAATGAGGTAGATCTGCCAAAGAAAGATACCAGTAAAATACTTTTATGTGATAGTAAACACGTGTGTGAAAACGTATCTGTTATCCATCTCTCCTAGTAGACTGAACTCCTCAAGGAGAGATATTGGATCATATTCATATTCTAACATGGAGTCTTGTGGATTAGTGTCCTCTTGGTCAGATGAATGAGTCAACAAATGTCTGTAAAATGAAGATTACTAGTACCACACAGGGCTTGAGTATGTGTATATATGTGTGTGTGTGTGTGTGTGTGTGTGTGTTTGTCTGTGACCTATGAGCAGAAAGTATTACAATATTATTAGGAAAAATGCCATTCAGAAAAGAAGGTATTAATTACTATTAGGAAATTGTCAAAGAGACTTCATGGGTTTTGAACAACAGTGGTGGTGGTTTGCTGGATGCAGTGGCTCACACCTCTAATCCCAACGCTTTGGGAGGTCAATGTGGGCAGATCGCTTGAGCCCAGGAGTTCAGGAACAGCCTTGGCAATACGGTGAAATCTGTCTCTAAAAAATATATATAAAAATTAGTCAGGTGTGGTGGTGCTCACCTGTAGTCCCACCTACTTGGGAGGCTGAGACAGGAGGATCACCTGAGCCCAGGAGGTCTAGGCTGCAGTGAGCCAGGATCACACCACTACAATCCAGCCTGGGCAACAGAGTGAAAACCTGTCTGAAACAAACAAACAAACAAACAAACCAATGGTGGTGGTTTGAGGAAAATGGTAAAAACAGAACAGATGGTTTCAACTTTGGCAGTGAAAGGAAGAGTTTTAGGAGTGGGGCTGTCCGAGTTGAATTCTTTCTCTCAGTGGTGAATGGGGCAAAGCGTCCCACTTGGGCTGCAGTTCTAAGTCCAAGCTCATTGTGGTAGATGGTTTGTGAACCAGACTATCTGAAATGCTTAGTTTTTACAATGAAAGAGCTCTTCAGCCCTGTAATAGTGCCCTAATTAGATGCCCAGTATGATTCAACATGTATAGTGACCATTTTAGACCTGAGTACTCTGTTACACAAGTGGAAACAATATCCTAAACAGACCTATGATTCAAAAAGAAGATTCCAGTTTGCCAATTACAATCTATAAGTTGCCTTATTTATTGTTATTGAGTATTCTAGTATGTTTTCATTTGCTTTTTATTTAAGAATCCCATAACTGTCCTGAAGATTGTACATAATGGCCTATTCTAAGGTTACTCTTCCTTTTAAAGCAGTAAATACTAGATCTCATCCAAGAGAAAGAGAGCTTAATTTTTTCATTTGTTGTTAGAAATCTTGATGAGGCTTTGAAAACTTAAGTTTTTTCTCATCCTTTTGAGAAACATTTAATTGTAAGGTCTTTATCAAGTAAAAACAGAATTTATAAAATTTTAAATGGGTATTTGTTTTTGTTGGATTGTTGAATCACATTTTCTCTTACACATTCATTTAAATCCAATGAAAGTCTGCCTGAAGTGGCACTTGCACGATGATTCTGGGAACCATCCCTTTGATTGTATGGTATTTACTGCTGATATATGTATGCCGGTGTTTCTTGCCTTCCATCATACATAAATTTCAGTGGCATATTGAATACCATAGAGAGGAACTGATTGATGATAAATCAAATGTTTTACAGCATATTATTGGGACTGTTGGATTCATTACTATGAAAGAGTTATGTTTGATCAGTATTTTCAGAGCTCCCTAATACTACAATTTATTGGTGCTTCTTAATGTTGTCTGTTAATTATATACAGGTTCCAAAATTGGGTTCAATTTAACATGTATAATACACGTTATGGTGAATCTTTATCACACAAAAAATGAGTAGCAAATATCCAACACTACCTTTGATTAGAACTATTAAGTCCAACAGCTTGTATTTAATGAACATAATGTTAATTAATAGTCAACTGGGTAGTTCATGATCTATTATAAGAATTATCTATTAGAATAAAGCTATTTAGATGTAGAAGGTGCCAAAGGAAAATTGGCTAACAAGAAAGGGAATAACCTCATATGTGGTTAAGATGTCAGATGAACAATTTTAACTCACGGTCTTTTTTTTTTTTTTACAGAGAATACATAAATTGGGTTTTTATTTTTAGTCCTCCTCTTCCCTTTAGAGTTAAATGATGGAAAATGACTCTCAGTCCCCAAACTACTCTTATGCATCATTCAAAATAGCCCTGACAGGCTAGCCCCTGTGGTGGTGATGAGGTTTATGGCTTTCCATTCCTTGGTGTTCCATTACTCTGTCTACACCATCAAATTGATTAGTAGGCAGTGGCGAGCAAGGAAAGAAAGGTGGCCGCTGAGAGCCAGCTAGTGCCCATCGTTTTAATGAACTGCTTAGAGATGGTTAATATTGTCCTTGATTCTCATTGTAGCTGATGATGACCAGATCTTTTAAAATGTTTTCCCCCTCCCTTATTCTACATTACAGGGCCCACTGGAAAATGATTTGGTAGTTCATGTGGCACTTATAGCAGAAAGCCAAAGGTATGAAATCCAAGTGGGTGGTGTGTTTTTTTGTGGGGAGGGAAGGGGAAATGATTGCTTTATGTTTACAATATCGAGTATGGTAGAAGATATTAACTTCAGAAACTCCTTTACAGGCTTTCAGGGATATCATTAATGTCACTTTAAATGGCCAACATATTATTCTTTTCATGTTTAAAAATAATTTTGTTTTAGTTGTGAATATTAAAGACTGTGACCAGTGCCAGTGTTGCCTGGGTTGTAGTTTTGAGAAATTCGTGCAAACACATGGGATTACCAAAATCAGTGCTTACCCTCCCTGCCAGCCCCTCATGTTTCCATCTGATGCTTCGTGGAGGATCCATAAGGGCCTCTGAAGTCTAGTGCAGATGGCAAATTGCTAATACTAACAAATTAATAATGCCCTCCAAGTTAGCATGTTCCCTTTTACCCTCCTCCTTCACTGCTTCCTAAACTGTAAATGTGTTTTCTAAAAACATCTCTTTTTTTCCCTATGATCTTTAGACTTCAAGTTTTTCTGAACACATATGGTATTCAAACTCAAACTCCTCAACAAGTAGAACCCATTCAGATATGGCCTCAGCAAGAGCTTGTGAAAGTAAGTGATTCTGCCTTTTACTTTCCTTACTTTGTAGAGGTACTAGAGCTTGATGGCTGGACTTAGTTTACAGACAAGTCACACAGTTAAAATCTGATTCTGATATAGGACCAGTAATCCAAAAGCTAATAATTAAATTGAGAATTCCACTTTAGTGGACATTGTTACTAAAAAAACTTTGCACTCTGTGTGTGTGTGTATACATTATGTTTATAGGTCTTGTTGATTTCTACTTCTTTCTGAACTCTGTTACTAACCTAGGATGAGCAGTTAAACAACAAGTTAGTCTTAATTTTAATAGAAATAAAATTATCTTATATTTTGATTTGATTTTTTTTCTCTTTTATCAAAATGTATTTTTACATTTTGATTTTTTCCTTTTATCTTTGATTTTTTCATCTTTGATTATCAAAAAATATTTAGATGTGAGAAGGTTTGTTTAAAAGAAAACCTTATCATACCTAAATATTTTTGATATTTACTACTTTCCTTTTTTCTCTTGCCTTCCTGTTTGGTGTCTGAAGTAATTTCAGCCCCTTTGGTTTGCTGGGTCTCAAAGCAATTATAAAGTAAAAGTAACATCTGTATGTATCATTGATGTAGTTCCATACGTATTTGGGATGGAATTAAAAGGTAACGTTTGAGGCCTTTTGCATGTACTGCTCTGTAGATGGATCTGTTATTGCCTATGCTTGTGAATATTCTTGCTCATTAGAGACAGGGTATTGTTGACTCCCACCGACTACTTATTTATAAACTGCCATTTTTATTTAGTAATTGTTAAAAACAACATAAGAACAAACTGCTCAGTGTGTAGAAGAAGTCTTTATAACAGTATATCTCAAGAGGACATGATTAAGTTTATTAGCTTAACATAAATAGTTGTAGTCAAAGTCTTGTTGCTATGACACAAAAATGAAGGCTTAGAGAAGAAAGGTACATATTACATGAGAAAATGCAGGACTCTGGTATCAGGGCTGGATCTTGACATTAGGCAACACAAACCAGAACCTGGGTGTCAGGTCGCCAAGAGCACCAGCTCTTGGAGAGTCCTTACACCTTCTCTAATAAATTTAACCACCGCCACCCTGCCAAGAGATAAAGCTGAAAATACAAGGATCCCTAGAGTAGGTAACAATTTAAACTCGTACCCAGATGTACATAATGTTACAAGGCAAGGATTGGAAGCAACATGGAAGGAGAGGGAAGGATGCCAAAATCTAAGGCTCCCACGCCGTGCTCTTAGTATTTAGCTGCAGGCTGTCGGCTGCTAATACACTTTTATGCTCTCCTGCTGAAAGCTCTAGAGAACGCCAACAAAGCTTATTCTTTGATAAACATACTCTTAAAACAAATTAACCCAAATCTGTTTTTTCTAGTCTAATTAATATTAGCAACTTATTTTAATAATAGGTGAGTTTATATCCTACTAGACAACACGCAATCAAGATTTAAAAGGCTAACATGGAGAGCAAATAACTTGAATGTGATATTCATTCATTCAGCAACAAACACATGCTATATGCAGAGCACTGTGTAGGACACTCAGATGAAATGACTTTGTCCCTGTTCTTAGTGACCTCTGAGTTTACTGGTTTGACAGAAAAAAAAACAGTGAATTACGGTTCACTTTGATAACTGTTATAATAGATGTTCATACAAAGTGCTTGTGGAATCAGAGGCAGTAGAAGGCCTTCTGTTACAGAGCAAGTGAAGACTTAAAACAGTTTGTGGCTTATTTTATATCTTGTTTTAAAGATGGTGTTAACAAATGACTTGCAATTTTGGTGTCGTGTGGCTAAAAAGACAGACTTGTGAGCAAGAGCCGACCTTCCTGTGCATGTGTTGAGATGGAAGATTGTTTTTGGTTGTAGCTGTAGCGTCTGTGTTCCTAAGTAGCTACTCTTTGGAATTCATCCTCTAAGATATATTGCCTAGTATTCTGCTCCTTATAAGTCTGCCTTTTCAAAGTAAAGGTGTTCCCTCAAATCTTAGCTGATGCACATATTCTTATGCTAGCGGTTGCTCCCTTTCTTCTGAGAAGCCACTCCCTCCCTCAGCCCACTGAAGAGGATGTGAAGGCAGACAGCTGAGAGCAGGGTTTTTACACAGCATGTGGTTAATATTCATGATGTGATGACTGTAGTGTGATTTGTTTCATGGGGATCGGAATACAGAAATCTGCTCTATGGTACAGTCCTAGTATGAAGTACTTCTGTATTTCTGGGTAGTTTGGTCACTACTATGTCTTTCGGTGCACTAAATGTTATGAATGTGTACAACATGGGGGCAGTGTTATATGCACCCTGGAATGTGGGGAGCACTAAATAGTCACAGACCTGCCGTACCATGGTTCAGAAAGTTAAGGAGAATCATTTTACTGTAACAAAGAGTAGTATTTAAAGGAAACCCACCTAGATCAACACATTTTACTATACATTTATTTCTGAAAATTTGAAACTATTAATATATGAGGTAAAGGGGGCTGCATCTAGTGTTATGTGCTGTGGTTTCAGTGCAGCTATCAACATAATGCTTATAAAGCACCGTTTCTGGCCAGTTGACTTTGTCTAAAATCACTGCTATTCCAGAATCAATATTCACAGCACATGTGGCTCAGGAGAATATTCAGTTGCTCCCTCATTCATCTATCAAGTATTTCCTGAGCACCAGCTACATACTAGGCACAGTGCCAACTTGGGCTGCTGTTCTACAGGAATGTACAAGTCGAAAGGAGAAAGAGATACAAACCCAACTCTCACATAGATGTGTGCACTATGTCAGTGAACAGAAAGCTCTGGCAACACCACTAATTTTGTATACAATGAAGTTATTATGTGAAATCGGTCCAAATCACAATCACTAGATTGTGTAGAGATAGTTGGTTTAATTTTCCATTTAGGAAAATATCGGTTAGATTTATTTCTCTCATTAAATGTAAAAATAAATTGCAGACAGATCAAAAATTGAAAACTTTTAAAATTTTTAAAATATAAAAGCACTAGAATAAAAAATACGAGAATATGTTTTAGCTGTTGGGAGGGGAAGTCCATTTTTAGAATGATACCAATGCCAAAAAGCCATTGAGGAAATGATTGACAAATACTGTATAACTAAATATAGCAAACAGCCTGGCATATCAAAGGTGCTTGTGAAATTTCCTAGTAGAAAAATGTTTATATTGAAATACCACATGTTGAAATGAGATTCCACCTATTGTGCAGTCATTCTCACATTTCATAACAACACTGAAGAGGAGCAAACTGGGCAAAGTATTTGATTTAAGGGGCAATACTCTTAATATACCAAGATTTCTTAAAACAAAAAAGGATGCCAAATTCCCCCATAGAAAAGGGAACAAATGAAAAAAGTTACAAAACATACAAATAGTCATTAAATATATTAGAAAATGCTGAACCACAAAATATTTTAATATAGTAGTTTAAAAGAAAAAACAAAATATTATTTTGACCCAAGAAGGTGGCAAGGCCTGTACACAGTTAATACCAGTGTAAATTGGTACATTATTTCTAGAGGGTGACCAGCCTCACATTATATTTCAAAGATAATGTATTCTCTTTGATCCAGCAAGTCTAGGAAATTATCCTGCAGATATAATGACACACTGTCCAAAGATGTTTATTGAATTATTTTTAAAATAACAAAAAAAAATGGGAGCTACCTTTATCAGGAGATAGGAGTTAAAAAAGGTAAAGGGGCTTCTTGATTAGATTAAGTGCTCAGCTCTGACACTGATTAACTCTTAATTCATTCCAAGACTGTTTTTAACCTTCTAGAAATTCTAGAAGTTTCTGTTCCACTGTGTCACCCTTCCCTATTTTGTAATACTTCTGCAGACTTTTCCCCCTCAGTTTTTATTTATTTATGTATTTATTTTTGAGATGGAGTTTCACTCTTGTCACCCAGACTGGAGTGCAGTGGCACCATCTCAGTTCACTGCAACCTCTGCCTCCTGGGCTCAGGCAGTTCTTCTGCCTCAGCCTCCCTAGTAGCTAGGATTATAGGCGTGTGCTACCACGCCCAGCTAATTTTTGTATTATTAGTAGAGACTGGGTTTCACCATGTCAGCCAGGCAGGTCTTGAACTCCTGACCTCAGGTGATCCACCCGCCTCGGCCTCCCAAAGTGCTGGGATTACAGGCATGAGCCACTGTGGCCAGCTTTCCCCCTCAATTTTAATATTTCTTCAATCATTTCAACATAGAAATGTACAGAAAAAGTATAGACTCATTTTAACATCTTTTTTGTTTGTTTGTTTGTTTGTTTGTTTGTTTGAGACGGAGTCTTGCTCTGTCGCCCAGGCTGGAGTGCAGTGGCACGATCTCAGCTCACTGCAAGCTCCACCTCCTGGGTTCGCGCCATTCTCCTGCCTCAGCCTCCCTAGTAGCTGGGACTACTAGGCACCCGCCGCCATGCCCAGCTAATTTTTTGTATTTTTAGTAGAGACGGCGTTTCACCGTGTTAGCCAAGATGGTCTCGATCTCCTGACCTCGTGATCTGCCCACCTCAGCCTCCCAAAATGCTGGGATTACAGGCGCTAGCCACCGCACCTGGCCCATTTTAACATCTTGAAACTGGAATACCACAATATTAAGTTTAAAAAATGGGACACAGAATATATGTTATATGAACCCATTTATGGAAATATACACACATATTGACATGTGTATAATATGAGTATATATTTATTGATGTACTTTTAAGAGTCTTTAACCCTATCTATACTCTTGGTGCCCCTTAGGGATCATACAATAAACTATACTCCTTTCAGCATATACCAGAGAAATAGTTGTTGCAAAAGGGATTGTGAAAATAAACAGGAACATTCACTTTGAGTGTATGGTTTGAATATTTCATAAAATGTATATAATCAGAAAAAATCAATGAAGACATTTTCATTTTGGTGGGAAATACTTGAAGGTGGAAATTTAGTAGGAGATTATGGGCCTAGTTTTAAAAATGTTAAACAATTAGATTTTTTTAATGATACAGGAAGCCTTAGCCTCTTTGTGTTCTTTTACGAATCAGAGCCATGCACGTTGTACATTTATAGCAGTGTAAGAACAATATCAAATTTAAGAATGTTGCTAAGTAGATCTGCAAAAGTTTTGCTCTCAAATCTCTCAGTAATCCAAAATCTAAGCTAACATCTTTGGCTAGCTTGTCTTCCTACAAGTTTTTGGATTAGGGTTCCCTAGCTTCTTTCTCTCTGGAAAGATCAGAAATTAACAGGGCAATATTCAGGGTCAAGAAAGTGACATGGATTCTTACCTGACTCTAACTTACAAACTTGTGTCTTACAGGCTTATTTCCACCTGGGTATCAACGAAAAGTTAGGACTCTCCGGAAGGCCAGATAGGCCCATTGGCTGCCTCGGTACATCAAAGGTACTCATGAAATGTCCTCAAAAAGTAGTTTTGGGATTCTAATACCACATACTGAAATGGTGTTTGACCTGCTATGCATCCTTTTTCATTTTCATTATGTATTCAGACTACTTATCTGAAGTATTATTTTCTGCTAGTAAATCTTATTTTGCATAATATCGTGGAAGTCTTATCTAAGCTTTGTAAAATATCTAATCATAATGATATTTACTCACAGACTTTTTCTATCATATTTGAGGTAGACTGCTTTAAGTTTATTAGTATACTGATTCAATCAAGAAACTAAAATTTTTAAATATTATATGGATGTCACAAGCTATTAATTTATGTGCTTATTCAGAATTAAACATCAGTTTTTATTTTTATTGAGACTTATAGTACTGCACCTTTGCCTTTGGTATGTTCTTTAGTTATTTGTTTTAAAACTTTTTCCCTTACAGATTTATCGCATTTTAGGAAAGACTGTGGTTTGTTACCCGATTATTTTCGACCTAAGTGATTTCTACATGTCTCAGGATGTTTTCCTGCTGATAGATGACATAAAGGTAGCTTCGGAACACCTTTCTTAAAAATGGAATGACTTTGTTTCCACTGATTTTATCATATGTTACTATATTGAGTACTCCCAGATATCTGTGATACTAGGTTAACACAGTGTAAAGCATGACAGTAAAACCACCTGCATAGCTTTGGAGAGTGTAAATTACTTGCAGCATTGGCATAATAGGTGACCTCTGTCTTATATACAGTTGTATGACTGCTCATTGTGCCTTTCTACAAATGAAATGAAAAGATACAATTCAGAAAAACAGGGGGACCTATTTTGAAAAATATGTTCATATGACAGTTTATCTCTTTTTGAACAAAAGGTAAATTAGCAAAATAATTTTATTCATGAAGAATATCCAGTAAAACCTCAACTAAGTCATAACTCCATGAGTTAAAATCTTCACTCCCTTTTCTGCTTACAGAGCAGAGAAGGTTAGAATCATGATTTAAAGCATGAAATCTGGAGCCAGACTGCATTCGTTAAAATCTTGGCTATGCCACTTGCCAGCTGTGTGTTCTTGGGCAAGTTACTTAACTCCTCTGTGCCTCGTTTTCCCATCTGTAAAACTGAATAATAATTAAGGGGTGTTCTGAGGATTAAATGAGTTAATATATTTAAAGTACTAAGAATAGTACCTGGCATATGGTGAAGTATTATATAAGTTTTTGATGTGATGATGATGATTATATTTAAGTCTTTGAGATGACTGATTGATTGACAGATAGATAGATAGATAGATAGATAGATAGATAGATAGATAATTAGTCAAATAAAGAACTGCCTCTACATTGCTAATGGTCTGTATAAATTCAGTCCAGTCTTCTCCACCTGCTGTAATATAAATCCCTAGTAATATGAAGTGAGTTAATCTTCTGAATGGCTGGCATGATTGTTCCCCCTGAGGCCATTCTTGAACTGTACATTTTAGGCTTTTTAAAAAAAGGAGGCCAAGCACGTTGGCTCATACCTGTAATCCCAGCACTTTGGGAGGCTGAGGCAGGTGGATCACTTGAGCCCAGGAATTCTAGACCAGCCTTGGCAGTCTCTAAATAAATAAACAGATAAATAGATTAAAATTTTTTAAAAGAGAGGAAAAAAACCATTAAAACAAATGTAGTGTGATTACTTTTAACAATGAAGTTTGAAATCACTGAACTCCAAGAGGTGTTCAGCGTAACTTGCATGTACCCAGAGAACCTGCTAGAGCACTTCTACACCTGAGTAGTCTAAGTTATTCAGGGTTGGATTGTGAACTGTCTTGCTACATAAGAATTTTGTTGGCTCTTTGGCACTCATGGTTGAGCATCCTGTTCGTCTTAGATACTGTGTCATTCTGTTTTGACAGAATGCACTGCAGTTCATTAAACAATATTGGAAAATGCACGGACGTCCACTTTTCCTTGTTCTCATCCGGGAAGACAATATAAGGTAGGTTGATACAAGAAGTAAGGTGCAAGTGTCTCACTGCCATGAACGCAGTGAGCCCTTGGGAAGAAAGGCCTCCTTGGATTTTTTTGTATACTTCTTAGTAGGTGGTAGAATACTTTGTATATATAAGGGGCACTTAGTATTAGATTATTAATTCACCATTCTGATGTTAATCTGTACATTTTGTTTATTTATATTTTTTAGAGGTAGCCGGTTCAACCCCATATTAGATATGCTGGCAGCCCTTAAAAAAGGAATAATTGGAGGAGTCAAAGTTCATGTGGATCGTCTACAGGTAGCCTTCTGATTTTCAGTATGCTTCTATTTTCAGGACAGTTAATCTACAATACAGCTATGTTTCTTAATATATGTTCTCATTTAAGGTTTTTGTCTTAAGGTTTTATTCTCTACCTATCTTCCTATTCCTATTGTCACCTTTCCAGTTTATCTGATCCCACGAAGTCAGATGCTTAAACACTTGCAGCGATTTCCTGTGCAGAATTTTAACTTCAGTAGCTCATCTCTAAAAGCTAGGTCCATAGTGGTGAAGTGACCTGCTTTATAACCTTGGGCTTTTAGGGGCAGACTGGCTGACTGTTGGTCCAGTGCTCTTTTTCCTGCTTTATACTAACATCCAACCTGGGAATAAACCTTGTTCTGTTCAGAACTTCACAGCATTATCTTCACAGCTCCTAAATTACAGAAACATTCTTTGGTTCACTGCTGGTCATAACAGCCTCTCTGTCCACAGTTCTCTCCTACTAAACACTCTTTGTGCTTCAGCCAATACAATAACTACTGTGTCTTGAATTTTGTGGGGTTCTGTCCCTCTGCTCACACCATTTTCTCTGCCTGGAATATCCTTCCTTCTTTCAGGGTTACTGGGCTCTGAGGTCTTACCAGACTTTAAGAGCAGCTCTACAAAATCATCCAGATGCAAACATACTTCTATTCTTCAACATGCTTTCGTGACCTTTAACTACTAAGATTGCAGTCTATTATATAGGCTTATATAATTTATTTCTGTAAAATAATAATGATTATTCCATGGGGTCTTTCACATAGTAGGTGCTCAATATTAAATAAGAAAGAGGAAAGTTTATAAAGAAAGACCTATATAGTGTTATAAATGGCATGTTTGCATACTCATTCACTGGTGATTGTATTTTGCATACTTGATTTTCACCTAGGCATTTTTCTTTTTTCCTTTGTTTTCTGTTGCTTTGTCTTTTTGTAACGCCTCCTGAGGCAATTTCTTTGATTTTTATCTTGCAGTTCTTCTATTGAGTTTTGCATGTTGGCTATCATGTTTTAAATTTTCATTTTTCGTAGTATCCTGTCCTATGGATATTTCATGGATGTCATATTTTATCTTTTCTGAGGATATAACCTAGAGGTTTTTTCTTCTTCTTCAATTTTCCTTTCCTCTGCATTATGACTTTCAGGGGTTTTTCCCTCAGTCTTTCATGTTGGAGGCATTTGTCAGATGTCCAGTATTCTTTAGCTATTTATTAATTTTTAAAAGTGAAGGAGTAAAAAGTTCAGAGGAAGCTGTGTGCTTGGGTACAAAGATTCTCTTTTTCTTTTGTTACTATTTCAGCTTTTGTTTTTGATTCAGCGGGATACATATACCTGGGTATATGCATGATGCTGAGATTTGGGGTGTAAGTGGTCTCATCATCCAGGTTCTAAGCACAGTTCCCAATAGTTTTTCATTCCTGGCCCTCCTTCCTCCCTCCCTGCTCTAGTGGTCTTTTTTTTTTTTTTTTTAATACTGCCCCAGTATTAGGATTCGCTGGGTTGAATGGTAGTTCTGTTTTAAGTTCTCTGAGAAATCTCCAAACTGTTTTCCACAGTGGCTAAACTAATTGACATTCCCACCAAACAGTGTATAAGCATTCCCTTTTCTCTACAGCCTCACCAGCATCTATTGTCTTTTGACTTTTTAATACTAGCCATTCTGACTAGTGTGAGATGGTGTCTCACTGTGAGTTGTTTTTTTGTGTGTGTATTTCTTTGTTTGTTGGTTTGTTTGTAAGACAGGGTCTCGCTCTGTCACCCAGGCTGGAGTGCAGTAGAGTGCACAGCTCACTGTTCCCTCAACCACCCAAGCTCAAGGGACCCTCCCACCTCAGCCTCCCAAGTAGCTGGGACTACAGGTACATGCCGCCATGCCTGACTAATTTTTTAGTTTTTTGTAGAGACAGGGTCTTGCTGTGTTGCCCAGGCTGGTCTCAAACTCCTGGGCTCAAGTGATCCTCCTGCCTCTGCCTCCCGAAGTGCTCGGATTACAGGCATAAGCCACTGCACCCAACCTCATTGTGGCTTTGATTTGCATTTCTCTGATGCTTAGTGATATTGAGCTTTTTTTTTTTTTTAATGTTTCTTCCTGTGTTTAGGAGAAAGATTCTTGATGAATTCACTTACAAGGTGATCTGATGGCAAAAGCTCCTTTTTGTTGTAGAAAGCCTCAGATGCCAATATCTGGAATTCTTTTCTCTAAGGCTTTTCAGTCTACCCAGAAAGTACATCTCTAACATCATGACCAAAGGACATACACTTTGTTTCCATATCCTGAGAGCAGGGTGAAGGAAGGAAACCAGGGATCCCACTGTGAAGTATGCAGTCTTCAACCAAATCCACTGTTTAATCCTTGTATCTCCTGCTCTCCACTGTGTCTTATACTCTTGAGTACAGTGTTTTTAACCAGAGAAAAAGCCTTTTGTCTCTCAAAACTCAGGGAGCTGAAAGCAGATAGTAACTCCCTAAGCCTTCAGGGAATGGAAAGGAACTTTTGGACCCAGTCTTCCTACGTGGAATGTCCGTGAATCCCAGCAGTGTCTGGGTCTCAGGGTCCTGAGGCTCTTTCCTGTTCTCTTTGTCCTAATGGATTTATACCTTAGTGGGTTTATACCTTAAACATTTTTTTCCACTATTATTTGACGGATTTTAGGAAAAACAGGAGTTAAATATATATCTTGGTCATATTAACCAGAAATCTACTTTTGATTTTATACTGAAATATCCCTTCCATTCCAGGATGTAGCTAGGCATTTTTCTATTCCTTTTAAGAAATAAGTGGGCCTATGTGGAAAAGAAAAAAGACCTAGATAATCTTGAAGAGAAATATAAGATTTGAATAAATGATGGGCTATACCATATCCTTGGATAAAAAGACTGTTACAAAAATGTGAGTACCTCCTAAATTAGTCTACTAGTTCATTATAATCATGGTCATTTCAGTGGAGTAGAGCTTTTGGCAATTTCATATGGTTAAGGGCCCACCAGGGAAGAGGGATTTCAGTAAATACTTCAGACTTTCAGATGACCCTCTTGAAAAGCTATACCTTTGAGTAAAAGGGAATCAGAAATAGTTCACTCCTCACAAAGGGTAGTGGATAACATCCAGAACCTCAAAGTATTTCTACAAATATGTACAATGTCTGTCTTTCATTCAAAATTATCAGGCATGCTAGGAGTGATCAACAACAGAGAGCCACCTACATTGGTTCAGATATTAGAGTTATCAGACATAGACGTCAAAATAACTACGATCAATGTGTTTAAGAAATTAGATAACAAGTTGGAGAATTTTATTAGAAACTTCAATAGTATATTAAAAAAGAATCAAATAGAAATTCTAAATGAAAAATTCGGTCACCAAAATTGAGGTCAGTGAAACAGTGTAGTACTTATTCACTATAATTGATGGCAGAGGATAGGTAACTCAGAAAAACACCCCAGTATACACACAAGAACTTAAAATAATATGTGATCAAGGAAACAATGAATTAATGGTGGATGTATAGATTATTTAATATATAGTTTGGGGAAAATTAAGGAAGTTAGAGTATCAACTCACTTCATACACCAAAATACATTTCAAGTGGATTAAATGACTTAATTTTAAAAGATGTTTATTTTAAGAAGAAATCAAAATACTTTCAAGCTTTTATTTTGGACATATCATAAGCTATCAGTTTTAGCCCCTAATGTTGACAAATTCTTAGTTTTGTGATGACTTCGAGTTGAAAATAATTTTACTTTACTTTGAAGTTTAATATTCTGCCATGTTGTGTAAAGTTTTCATTTTATTTGAAGAGTCATAGACAAATTATAAAGACAGTGCAAAATGCGGTGATTTTCTCTCAAGTTAATAAATTGAAGGTTTCTCCTTTTCTTTTTATTTTCTTTTAATGTCAAGCACAGCATAGCGTTTTAAAGTTAGAATGATATCCTTTTTAATCCTGCATCATCTGAAATTGGGAAACTTTTTGCTTATATATCCTTATACACAAAGCTCAAGTTGGTCAAGACCTTAAGATATTTCATCTAATTCCCTCCTTTTACAAACAGAACTAGAGCTCTTTGTAGGACAGTAACTGTCTGTAGTCCTAAGACTAGTTACTGCAGATAGGAATAGAATTCATGGTTTTCCATTCCTAGTTCACTACTTTTTATACTCAAGCACCTGAACTTTCATCACTTTCTTTTCAGCAGCAGAGTTTAATGTCTACTTCACTACCTATCTCATTTTCCCATTTTTAGTTGTGTTTCAGAAATTATAGGAGAAAGAGGTCAGTAGTTTTGTCATGATTCAAATAATTTTACTTTTTTTTTTTTTTGAAACAGAGTCTCACTCTGTCACCCAGGCTGGAGCACAGGGGCGCGATCTTGGCTCACTGCAACCTCCACCTCCTAGGTTCAAGCGATTCTCCTTCTTCAGCCTACCAAGTAGCTAGGACTACAGGCATGTGCCACCACGCCCGGCTAATTTTTTGTATTTTAGTAGAGATGGGGTTTCACCGTGTTAGCCAGAATGGTCTCGATCTCCTGACCTCGTGATCCACCCGTCTCAGCCTCCCAAAGTGCTAGGATTACAGGCATGAGCCACTGGGCCTGGCTGAGTTTTACCTTTTTTAAAAAATGTAAATGGAAGTTCACCATTTGTGTTTTTACTTTTTCCTTCTTTTATTTAAATTAAAAATATTTATCAAAAGCAAAATGTAAGTACATAACTGTTCTAGACTTATAGTCATCAGTAGCCCAAAATGTCAATGATATTTTTGAAGGTCTTCTGAATTTAAATATGTACTTTGCCATCTCTAAAAATTGTGGTAAAACATACATAACATAAAATTTGCAATCTTAATTATTTTTAAGTGTCCAGTTTAGTGGTGTTAACTATATTCACCTTGTTTTGGTGATAAATTGAATTCACCTTGTTGTGCAAACAATCTCTAGAACTGTTTTCACCTTGCAAAACTCAAACTCTATACTCATAAACAACAGTTCCTCATTCTCCCCACACTCCAACCTTCCTTTTTTTTTTTTTACTAATATAATCAATGAAAATGGCATCTATATGCTCCTCTTGGGTTTTATTTCAAATCCTTTCAAATTTCCGTATCCCCTGATCCAGTTTTACTCATTACTAGGATCCCAGCCTCTTCTCCCAGCCCCATTACCCAGGACATCTCTCCATGCAGTTTGTTGCTAGCCATGCTTTCCATGCCCCATATAGACTTGGTTTCCAAATCTCTAAATGTAATTGGAGTTTTATGCCCTCATGCTATGATGGTATTTTAGAGTTGCCTTTTCTTTTTTTCTTTCTATGTCATACTTTAATTTTACAGCTTAGGTGAATGTTTCGTCTTTAGTGAAGCCTCCGGGACTGGAATTAATTTCTCCTTTCATTGTCCTTCTATGACATTTTGCTTGAATGTTTGCTATAGCTCTTGTTTCATTTTATGTTGAGCTAGTTTCTTCTGCCTGCCTCGCTCTGTGGTTTGTAATCTTGTTCAGCTCAAGGTTCACTCATCTCTGCATCCCCAGAGTACTCTCCTCACTACTGTTATCTGTGGGAAATATTTAAATATTGCCTCATTGATTCAACAAATATTTATTGTGCTCCGACTGTAGGCACTAGGGATGTAGTGATGAATATGATACACAAGGTTTTTGACCACATGGGACTTAAATTCTAAAGGGAAAGCCCAACAGAAAACAAAGGTAGGTTGGGAGAGTGATGGGAAGGAATGCAGTCTTGGGTAGGATGGTCTGTTGGAAAGGACCTGGTGGGATATAATTGAGTGTTTTAAATATATTGCATTTGACACATACAGTATTATTTAATTACCATCAGAAATAGAATACTAATGCCTAGCAAATTTGTTGTTAAGTTTGCTTTTTCCAGTACTAATATAGGAGCTTCTACAACCAACTGAATTTTTTTTAATCAAAAGCCCCATAGATTATTAATGGAATTTAGCATTTGTCTATAACTCAGAGTAAACATTTATTTTATGGGCTGAATTAGAATATAAGGGTGAGTAGGCTAATAAAACGGAAATTATTAAATACAATTTTTTTCTGTTTAAGCATTAGCTATAAGCTTTAAGAATTAAGTAATTCTTGACTCTCTCTTGTCTCTCATACCCTGTGTTACAATTTATTATTAAATCCTGTTGTCTCTATCCTCAAATTGTATCCAGAATCTAACCACTTCCCATCACCTTCAGTGCTATTATCATGGTCCAAGCTACCATTATCCCTCACCTAGGTTTTTACAGTCATCTCCTAAATTCCAACTAGACATAAGACAGCCTGTTCATGCTCTACCTGGTCATAGGCAGTTTATGTCATATATCATAAGCCTCCAATGATTTCCTCTCTCACACAAACTGGAAACCACTGTTCTTCAAATGGTCTATGTGCTCTCCATGGTCTGGACCTACATCTCTTATTTCATTTCCTACCAGCTGCCCCATCTACTCTATTTCAACCACATTTTCCTCCTTACTGCTCGCAAAGACACTAAGCATGCTCCTGCCTCAGGACCTTTGCACTTACCACTCCCAGCCCCGTACACTCTTCCCTCAGATCCATATCATTGACTATAGTCCTTTCTTCAGTTTCTGATTACATGTTACTTTATTAGAGAAATCCTTTCTGATCACCTATATGAAATAGCTAACAACCCTCATCCTACTCCCCTGCCCTGGTACTCCCCATCCCCTGCCTTTTCTTATTTCTACTTTGCACTTATCACCATCTGACATAATAAATACATATATGTAGTAATAATATATATTATAATTATTATATACATAGAGTCATATGCTACATAACAGCATTTTAGTCAATGATGGACCATGTATACAGTGGAGGTCTGGTAAGATTTTAATATTGTATTTTTACTGTACCTTTTCTATCTTTAGATACACAAATACTTACCATCATATTACAGTTGCCTACAGTATTCAGTACATGTTTGTAGCCTAAGAGCAATAGGCTGTGCCATATAGCTTAGTGCTTAGTAGGCTATACCACAGTTTGTGTAAGTACACTCTATGGGTGTTCACACAACAACAAGATTGCCTAATGATGCATTTCTCAGAATGTATCTTGGTCATTAAGCGATGCATGACTGTGTGTGTGTGTGTGTATATAGCTTTTTTATTGTCTATCCGCTACACATACCTTTAAGAACAGTTTCAAGAAGGCAAGAATGTTATATATTTTGTTCATGCTGTATCCTCAATACCTAACATAGTACCTAGTAGGCCTTCAATAAATATTTGTCTAACAAATTATTTAACTGAATAGCAAGATGTATACATGCTAGCCTACATATTAGGAAATATCATTCGATGAACCTGCCTAGGCACAGACCCTGCTCTTAGGGAACTTACTGTTCCAGAGTGACCTGACTATAGCCAGGCTAGTAAAAATGTGCAGATCAACTGCATAGTCGACCTTTCTCACTCAAACTCGAGGAAACTTTATTATGATTGCTATTAATATGTCCATCCTGTCATCTATAAATGGACATTTGTTGATCTACTTTGTTTATGAGTTTCCACTAGAGGAGAAGGCACTACTACTCTGGGTAGTTAGCCAACAAAAGCAACATTCCCAGTGTCCTGTTTCTTCACATTTGAGATGAACAGTGAGAAAATAGAGAAAATAATGTATGTTATAAATATTGTATAAATATGTAATAAATATTGCCTTATTTTTAAGTAATAATTTATGCCTTGTTTTTTATGAGTACATTTCTCCATTTTCTCTGACAATTCATCAGATAATTAGAAGTAACACATAATGTTAAAAATCATTGTAGGTTTATCATTCATTTATACTGTTCATACTGTTCACCGTGAACCACTGACAAACACAAACAATGTTTCAGTTCAGACTCATTTAGTTTGTTCAGCCTATAATCAGAAACTAATGGAAAATAAAATGACCAAATATGGGTAGCCATACGCCAGAATGTAGAGAAGCATTGGCCTGGAAAACCAATACCTTCATGTTCCTGAAAAAATGGAGTCTTGTCGGTATCCTATCATTGGATGACCCAGAAATACATTACAGTAGCAGAATCCAAAGTACAATTTCACATCTTTTCCCAAAACAATTTTAGTATTTTATGTGTTTTCTAATTTGGATATTTTATTTTACTTTATTTATTTTTTGAGACGGAGTCTCGCTCCGCCAGGCCAGAGTACAGTGGTGCGATCTCGGCTCACTACAACCTCCACCTTCTGTGTTCAAGTGATTCTCCTGCCTCAGCCTCCCAAGTAGTTGGGACTACAGGCACATGCCACCACGCCGAGCTGATTTTTGTATTTTTAGTAGAGTTGGGGTTTCACCAGGATGGCCAGGATGGTCTTGATCTCTTGACCTCATGATCCGCCCGCCTTGGCCCCACAAAGTGCTGGGATTACAGGCATGAACCACTGCCCCCCAGTCAGAAATGTAATTTTTTTTAGCATTTTAATGGTTACTGAATTATTTTAATTCCAGCTTAAAAGTAAATGCCTGCAATTCTAAGAACAGAGAGTTCATCTCATGTTGACCTATTTATAATGACTCATAAACTTGTAACTTGATGTGTATATTCTATTTAAGGGGTTTGTGTGTGTGTGTGTGTGTGTGTGTGTGTGTGTGTGTGTGTGTAGAAACCTGTGTGATTTTTGAATGTTCATTTAAGAATTACTTCAGAACTGTATATATTTTTAAGCAATTTTTTGAAGTATTACTTAATTACAGAAAGGTATGCACACAGGCCATAAGAGTATGGCTTGATGTATCTAAGAGTTTCTAATCCTTTTTTGATCACATTTCAGACCCTAATATCTGGAGCTGTAGTAGAACAACTTGATTTCCTACGAATCAGTGACACAGAAGAGTAAGTCCCTTTGGGTTATTTCATTTTGGGTTTTTTGAAATTACATTAGAAAAGTAGAAAATATGAAACCTTTTCTTTTACTTTCTAGGCTTCCAGAATTTAAGAGTTTTGAGGAACTAGAACCTCCCAAACATTCAAAAGTCAAACGTCAAAGCAGCACCCCTAGTGCTCCTGAACTGGGACAGCAGCCGGATGTCAACATTAGTGAATGGAAGGACAAACCCACCCACGAAATTCTTCAAAAACTGAATGTGAGACAGATGCAGTTCCCACATGGCCCTCGGTTGCTGGGGCAGAGGCTCCCAGAGTCAGACCATATGTCTTTTTGTCCTCTCAGTGAAGGTAGCAATTAATCTGGAGGTGGATGACTTGTCTACACCCAGGGCAATCATGAGAAGTTGTTCTCTTGGTCTAACATCTGCATAGATATCTTTAAAAATGCTTAAGAATTGCAGGTGAATATGTTTGTCTTGGATACACAAGTATGGTATGAGCCATTAAAGAAGTCAATGATAGTTGCCTGTGGGTTCTCCAGATTTCTCTTTCAGAGCCCTCTTTCTTCCTTTCTGCCCCCATCTTGTCTCCTGCCCCAGTGTTTAGGTGTAATGCTTGCTTTAGGTCAGTCCTGTCACTGAGTAAAGCAGTCCTTTCACTGCATTCATACAAATATTTTAGCAAATGAATATTTATCTTTCCTAAGGTTACTTACGTTTCAGAAGAGTAAGGGTGGATAGGGTGTAGTACTGATTCAAGGAAACGAAATTCTCCCAGTAGAGCAATAAACACTGTGACGTTTTGTTTGGGGCATACAAATTTGAGCATGTAGACCAAATATATATCCTTCCAGATGTGACCAATTCTTGTTGATGGATATTGTATAGATCCAAATAAGCATGAATAAGATATAATATGGCATAAAGCACATAGCACAGTGCCCTAATATATAATAAACACTCTAAACAAGTCCCCTCCTATCATCTATCTCTTCAAAACAGTTTGCTAGCAACATGGTCTCCCATTTACCAATAAGAAGAATCAAGAAGGGAGTGGTTAAATGACCTGGCCAAGTCTCTCAGAGAGTGGCAAAATCAGTATTATTGCTTGTAGATAAAATATTTTCTGTTCATTACTTACCTTGTTTTCTGGCAAATTTAATTATTAAATCCTACCACCCCAGGAATCCAGCTTGTCACTTGTCTACCCTCTATCTCTAAGATATCTAAGATAAGTATGAATCGCTGTATAATGTCATCTTATGCTTTGTATTATATCAATGACAGTTTATCTTTCCTCAGTTCATAGTAAAGTATTTCTTCTCTGCATCATGTAGTTTTGTGATTAGTTACCCTCTGTGGTAACTCCTGTACCCATTTCATTTCAGTTCCTCACCGTGATTTATATTTTCAGGATTGCAGTTGTCTGGCTAGCCAAGCCATCCTGCTGGGTATACTGCTCAAAAGAGAAGGCCCCAACTTCATCACAAAGGAAGGTAAGAGTGCATGTCTAAGAGAACATTTTAAATAAGAGGACCGCTGTAGCCTTGAACATATATCAAATATGCATAAGCTATCCACTAAAATGTTGCAAGTTCTTTACCCCTTCATTAAACCTTCTTTTTCACTTTTGAATGGAAAATGTTCATTCATACCCCCTAAAGTGGAGGAGACTGATGTATGAACCCCTAACTGGCTTTCATGCAGTGATGCTTGATTGTTTCTCTGATTGTCTGAAAAGTATTGGAGCTTGGATTGTACCTGTGATTGTTAACCTCTGATGAATTCCATAGTTATTTATTGACAGTTTCTATTTCCAGTTTTATCTTCTCTAATTTTTCAAGAATAACATCGAATTGTTATGTCTATAAAAATTAGCTCCCTCAAGATAGCGCCACTGCACTCCAGCCTGGGTGACAGAGCAAGACTCCATCTCAAAAAAAAAAAAAAAAAATTAGCTGCCTCGTGATCTGCAGCAGCCATTTGGAATGGAACATGGCATTTAATAGAATTGTGCTCTGAAGATGGTTAATAAAAATAAATCATTTGTAATTATATCTATGTCCACTCTGCATTAAGGATGAAACCCAGTTATCCCCCAGATTCACACTTGCATGTGGAGTCACCACTGTAAGGAATCTTTAAGTTCTCCACCATGGTCCACTTCTGACATTTTGTAATACAGAATAATGCAGAATACAGTTCAAGTACTTAATGTCTAGCTATTCAAAAATCTTTGGCTTATTTGAAAGTACTCTGTTAAGAGGTGTGTGTTGATATGGTTAGAACTGAAAAACAGCAGTGGAATTAATAATACATATAGTTCTGGTAATTAACCGAGCATAGTTATTTATTCAAATGAGATCTACTTAGTTTTTGCCTTATTATAGCTAAGAGATAACCTTCTTGAGTATTATACATGTGAATTGAATCGTTTTCCATTTCTTAGCTTGTTAAAGGCAGAGGAACTTTTAGCAAATTTCAAACAGAATCTTGCATATTTCTAATTAGTCTTAAAACTGTAAGTATAAGCAGAATCTCAGTTGTATTTAGGACATTCACTGAAATTTGCACTTTATCTAAAACAGTAGGATTTTTAAAAATCAAACATTTCATTAGAAACCTAGAATTCAGAATGGCTGTTTTTTTTATTGAAAAGTTTTAGTGCTTTTAAATAAAAGAAAATTTATATAAAATAGTTTATAATGAAAATGCTAAGGGAATGATTTTTTAAACCATTTTTATAAACTTGAGAATAATATTCGTTAAATGTTTTAAATCTATAAAACCTTATGTGAAACATTGAAAATCATATGCATCTACAGAATCCGAATATAATTTTATCTAATTTGTTAAAAGGCTATAAAAAGTTTAGAGTAAAATGTTAATGATCTTGTTCTTTATCTTTGTTTTCTTTTTGGTGCTCTTTCCTGTCACATTGTGATTTTACAGACAAAATCGTGGCCAAATAATGAAACCCACTGGTGGTGTCTTTTGAGCAGTAGCATATGTTGGAATGATCATAGCCCCATGTACATAACAAGGCCTCAGTAAAGTTTTATTGAACAAATAAATGAAAAGTCATATATATTACAGTCTACAGTATTTGTTCAATTGCTAATTATTTTACTATATTCTCTTTTCCTCTTTTCTGCAGTAAATTAAAATAGCATTTGTATTGTTAAAAGTTTAGATTGCATATTAATTAGGAAAATAGTTGAATTTCAAGAAATAAAGTACCAAAATTATATACTCAGACTAAATAGTATCAAGTGCTGGAGATAGTCACACTCTATATATTTGAGTTACATATTTAAATATGTCAGTTCAGAACATTAATGAATCGATGTATCAACTCTAGTGAAGCACAGTGAAAATTTGAGTACTTTTAAGAGGAATAAATGTGATGCATTTAATTAAAAGTTTTGTTCAACAAAGACTCTATTATCCAATGTCTAGGTACCGTTTCTGATCACATTGAGAGAGTCTATAGAAGAGCTGGCAGCAAAAAACTTTGGTTTGTATTAGTGTCCTTGTTGTTACGTTTTATTTTTGTGTTGTCATATTCGATAGCCTAAAGAAAATGGACCAGTCTTAAAGATGGTAATTCATCCTGATTTTTACTTTGAACCTCCAAGGTTACAGCACTTCCTGAGAATGTGCCTATGTAGCATGTCTCTCCCCGCACCTCCTCCACCAAAATTCTGAAAACAAAGACACTGTAGGGATTGAACCTGAAGAGTATTCACTGGAATGATATGCTAAGAATTCTTTCCTACTCTACACCTTCTCTGCCCCAGCAAGGTGCTTTAAGTTCTGTTTTTTAATTTAGGCAACCTGTTCTGCTATTATAGAAGGCCATGAAAAGAGACCAGTGATTTATCTAATCATAAGCAAAAATAATATACTGAGAAGGCTATTCTCTTGTCACTTAAGTTGAATGAATCCCAGTGATTGTAGCTGCTTCATGAAAAATAACCAATTTGTTCTACAGAGGTAATCTCTTCCCAGAGATAGAAAAAAAAAGAAGTAGGAAAGTTTAAATAAATAAAGTTGTTTAAATTCACAATTGAGTAGGAATGCCTAAATGCATGGCCCTCTGCATTTTGATGTAATTCTACAGAAATGTTTTACTAGCTGAATCTAACAAATATTGAAAGTCAAAGTGTATGTATAGATATATATACACACGCACACATTTTTTAATGATACGTTATCCACTTAAAAAAAAAAAAGTCTCAAGAATGTCATAAGAAACTCCCTTAACCTAAATGAGCCTCAGGTTTCTAATCCCTAAAATAAGGGGATTAGACAAAACAATCTCTTAGAATATTTCAATTATATTTTTATCATAAATATACCATTCCTCCTCAGAAGAAATAATGTAATAATCCTATAGTTAAATCTTTCAAATTTTCACTGTAAATTCTTAGTACAGTAAGACATCAAGCCAATAAGTGATAGTTCTGGTAAACTTTCTTAGCCAGTAAGTTTCAAGTGTGGTCTATAGTCTTACTTTTGATTAAGCACATCTGTTCTTGCTTTATGTATTACACTTTATGCATTTCAGATAAATCATTAGCTAGCAAACATTTAGAATGCTGACTGTTATGTTTGGAAGAACTGAAAGTTGTATTTACTCTATTTTCCCTTTTATGGCTTTCCACTGACACACCCAGGTTGGCGGTGCGCTACGGGGCTGCATTTACCCAGAAATTTTCTTCCTCTATAGCCCCACACATTACTACTTTTCTGGTACATGGGAAACAGGTAACATGCACAGAATTTGAAAACCCAAGCTGCTTGAAATGTGTGGGCTTATTTGCACTCTGAAGGTTAAACATGTCTTTTGGTCTTAGAGTGTGTGGGTGAAAGCTTCTCTAGAAGTAGGAAGTGTTTGTTTCACTAACTTTATTAGTTATTGACTGAATTTTCTTTTAGTCATCTATGTTGAAATTAAGAAATATAAATGTTTTTTATAAGTCAGCTTCTGTGGATATCCTGAAATACCTAAAGATTGCAGCCAGTTTCAGACCTACATTTTTATTTTACTTTTTCTATCTAAAAGTTCCACGTGAATTTTTACTTTTGAGGGAAAAAAATTATCTGATGTATTGCATGTGCTGTACTTTAAAAAAAAAAAAAATCTGTTCTCCCTAGGTTCTAAGACTTTTTCAGTAATATAAAAATAGCAGTGTGAATTTCTTCCCCCAACATTATGACTTTATCATGAAAAAGAAATACTGGTATTTCATTGTAGCACTTTCTAAAATTCAGTACTAAGTGAATCCTCTAATCCAGAGATTTGGTTATCTAGGCACCAAAAGAAACATGACTTAGAATGGTTATAGAAATAGGTCACATGTACTAGTGACAGATTTAGTAATGAACTTGTTAATGCAAAATCAGAATATCGTCTTAATTCCTCCTATACACCCTCCCTCCCTAATCAAAATAATAACTAGGTTTTCTTTTTTTGCTTTTTAAATCGATAGTGTCATCAGTAATATTTTTGTCACAGCTTGGTGGCAGGGATGAGGTGGAGGGATCCCTCCCTAATTCTGAATGGTCCTGCAGTCTGGGAAATTTCAGCTGTCCTGGGCAGTGTTTCCTCCAAATGATGATGTGAGGATTCAACCGTGTATATTTTAAAGATTACCCAGTCAGGGCCCGATGCATTCCTCATATTTTAGATTTGTGAACATCTGGCCTGCTCTCTTCTTTGCCCCCAGGTCGGTTGTACGCCGTGCAGCAAGTCTTTTAAGTAAAGTAGTGGACAGCCTGGCCCCATCCATTACTAATGTTTTAGTGCAGGGCAAACAGGTAAGTATTTGCTTTTCAGACACTTATTTGGTCCCAGTGGCACAGATTTCTGGCTAGGACCCTTACTTTTAAGTCTGGCAAGCCTTAGTGTCATAGGCCTCTCACTTTCAGATTTATAAGGGCTCAGGCATTGCTACGAAAGTCGCCTTCCCCAAGCAAAATCTAGTCAGAAAGATATTAAATGGGCCTTCTCCTTTTCCTGCTGCACCTTAGAGCTGTAATCTTCAACTCCTGTGTTGAGATCAATGCAGATGCTAATGTAGAAAATGGACCAATAACTACTAATGTAGAAAATGGACCAATAACTACTAAAGTACTCCAGACAGGTTTCGGATAGGCAGAGCAGAAGTAGGTGAACAGCGAAGGGCACATATTCCCTTCTGCTCCACGTAAGATCTCCCTCCTTAGAAAGCATGGTGTTCGTGCCCAGCCAGGGTCTCTGCATGCCAGTGCTGCTCCCCAGATCCCCTGCCCCAGGCCATCTCTAACCCCAGCTCCTCCCCATTCGCCAGGGCCAGCTCTGTCACCTCCTCCTCACGGAGCCATCTCCAGTTAGCAGTGGTCTCTCTCTCTGGATTCTCACAATAGGTCTGTGACAATTCCCACAATCTGCCCTGGGTCCCAGTTCATTTGAATGTGTGTCTCTCACCTCATGGTAGGCTGTGAGCCCCCAGGGGTCAGAGTCTGAGTCTTGTCCAGTACACATCCCAGTGTGCCCAGCATGGGGCCTTGCTTGGAAAAAGCACTTAGTGAATGTGGGTTGAATTGAGCCTGTGCATGTGGGGTGTGGCTGCTCATTTTCTGTTTTGTTTTCTATAAGCTCTAATTTACCTGGCTGAATCATCCTTTGATTAGAATGAAAACCTGTTCACTTACTCTCCGTCTCTTCTCTGTGAATATATGTGCTTTATTGTGTTTTCCTGAGAGTTAATCTGGGGATATAATAAGCTTTAGTAATATGAAGTACTTTAACGCTCTTCAATGGAATCAACCCATTGGTCATATTTCAGGGCTCTTAATTCATTAAGATTAAAATTATTCATCCTTATATTTAGCTTTTGAAATGTTAGAATAATAAGCTATTTATTGTTTCATGTAATATTTAATAATTAAAAATAATTGTACTAATAAAAGATTCCTGCTGGGCATGGTGGCTGACACCTGTAATCCAAACACTTTGGGGGCCAAGGCGGGAGGATCACTTGAGGCCAGGAATTCAAGACCAGCCTGAGCACATAGCAAGACCCTATCTCTGCAAAAAAAAAAAAAAAAAAATAGCTGGGCCTAATGGCACATGCCTTTGGTCTCAGTGCCTTGGGAAGCTGAGGTAGGAGGATTGCTTGAGCCAAGAGTTTGAGGCTGTAGTGAGCCGTGATCATTCCATTGCACTCCAGCCTGGGCAACAGAGCAATACCCTGTCATTTAAAAAAATTAAAAAGAAAAAATACAAAAAATCCTAAGAAAAAGTTAAATCACTTCATATATGTTATTTTTTCCAAATTGTTGAGAGGTAGATTTTTTATCCCTGTTTGTTGGCTAAAACAGACCAAAATACAGGAAGTAACTTATCTAGTGCCTTTTCTCACCAGAATTCTTGCCTCTAGCGAGAGTCTCATATTTTTGCCCTGAACCAAGCCACCTCTGAAAGAAAGTTAAACAGGCTTTGAGAAGATATTTTTCCTTGGATTTTAGATCCTTGTAGCATATCTGAAAAGAGAGTTAACTCTGCATATGAACATTCAGAAACTTTTGGAGATATTCAAGGTCATCGGCACCTGACACTGGGAGAAAGGGTGGGTTAGGGTTGGTCCTGTCCAACTACACAATATCTAAAGGGAGCTTGCAGCCTGTGGTCCTGAGATTCTGCTCCCACATCCTGGAAGCCTCAGAGCCTGCCCTAAGGTTGTGCCTGGACCATTGCTCATCACACTAGTATGTCTCCCAGGGTAAATCACTTACAGAGCTGGGCAAGACTTGGAGGCCAGTAGCTCAGCTTCATTACCAGCGGCATGAAGTCCATTCTCTGACCGCACCTTACTTCTTTACAATAAAGAAGTAAGAACAGAGCATTCAGAATTTTTCTGAGTGCCCTAAGCACTGAAGTAATATTGTTTCTACCAAGCACATTCAGATCACCTCAAGCTCTGTGGAATGAAATCATGGCTTAGTCATCATTGCTTCCAGAGGCAATGATGTGCCTTCTGTTTGTTTTCTTCTTTACACACTGACATTTTAATGAAAGTATTCACACTCAGACTAACTGGTTCATGCCACTTGTGATATAATAAACCAGCAGTTCGCAGTTTTCACTCCATTATAAAATTGAGGCAATAGACTCCATGTTCTGCTCTCTTCCCTCATCTCTGTGGCCTTTGATATGCTATTCTTTTTTCCTGCCTTTTATGATGGTACACTGTACATGGAAAAGAGATGGGAAGGGGTACTCAGGGAGAAGGGTGGCCTGCAGAGTCCCCTGGGAGCAGAATGCCAGGGATAGAGGAGAGAGAGAGACCAGCCTATTCCCCTTGCCAGCTTCAGCAGCATTCTGCTCAGAGTTTTTTTTTTTTGGCCATTTCGCTCTGTGCTCTCTGGTGTCCCAGGCTGTGAACAGCCTGTTCCTTCCCCTCCACAGGTGAGAGATCTGTCACCACATATTTTAACCCTCACCAGGCACCTTGCATTATGCCCAGAAAAATGAGGGCTACACAGGAACTGGGTGGCGTCACACCTGCCTTTGAAGCGTTATAGTGTTGTTGAGGCAAAAGAATCTGCCTGAGAAACTATAAAAGAATCAAAAAGTATATCTCTCAAATACCAAATTGTGTAGACTGTGCAGTAAAGTGAAACTCTGTAACCTATTCTGGTTTCTCTGGGGAGTTTCTAGTGCTAAAGTCATTCAGAATAATTTTAACTTATTAGTTATTTATATTCCTTCCCTGCTTTTATCCACTCACCTCCACTCCCCTAACTGGAACCCTCACCTGCCCTTATATTTGAGACTAGACTGTGAACCATCATGATTTCCAGTGGGAGTCACGCTTTGAAAGCCATTTTAATAAACAGCAGGAACAGTTATTCTGCCTAATTCCCTAGCTTATGTAGAGTAATTTCAGCCTGCCAGTCATCCTGAGCCTTGAGTTTTTTTTTATTTTTATCTTTTAGTAGCTAGGAGAATTTTACAATAAAATTCTGTCACTCGTAGGTAACTCTGGGTGCCTTTGGGCATGAAGAAGAAGTTATCTCTAATCCTTTGTCTCCAAGAGTGATTAAAAACATCATCTATTATAAGTGTAACACCCATGATGAGAGGGAAGCGGTCATTCAGCAAGAACTGGTCATCCATATTGGCTGGATCATCTCCAATAACCCTGAGTTATTCAGTGGCATGCTGAAAATACGAATCGGGTGAGTGAAGTCCTTTGCATTTGCATAAAGAGAATTGTTCAAGTTGTCCTCTAACAGACCCAGCCTCTCCAAGTGAAGCAATGTTCCTGGTGTCTGGTGAGTATTCAGCAAAGTGCACCTGTCCTCTAAGCCATGCAGGCAATATCTGGGGGTATGCAAAATAAATGCTACTAGCCTGAAAGAATCCTTAACATTTATTTCATGCCTGAATTAGATATAGTGAAGTAACTCTGTTTTCTGGTAAAATCAAACCCCAGAAATTTCAACAGCTGTGTCGTGTAAAACACTAAGCACAGTACTTGCAAAAATTCCTAGAAATAAAATGAATAGGCCTTAAGAGAGGAATGATTTTCAGTAAAACTGTCAGGAGGACACATTCAGATAAAAATTTGGTCCTTTTAAGAATATTCTATACCCATTTTCTACCAAAATCTAACTATTGATTTTTAATATTGTTGTTCTTGGAGAAGAAATCAAAAGTAAGGCTCTGATGATCTTGAATATTCGTAATCAAGAATTTTATGAGGCAGCATGTGTAGGAAAAGTTAACCAGGCTCTGGGATTCAGCAGAACTGAGTTCAAGTTCCGACTGCCATTGTCATCTCAGTAACCTCGGATAAATGACTGAACCTCTCTAGCCTCGCTTTAATACCAGTTTCTTTGTTTTATATGAAAATGAAATGAGATATGTTTTAAAAGTCTATGACAAGCTAAGAAAGCATAAATGTTTCTTTTTTAAATACATTTTTGATTGTATAAGTATCATGTGAGTATGTCCTGATTGTAAAAGAGCCCAATGGTATCTGAGCTTATAATGTAATCTAACATGTGGCCAACTTTGGAGGGTGTTTCTCAAGTGTTTGAAAAGAATATACATTCTCTGTTGGATGCAAACATACATGTATGTGTATGAGTGTGAAATAAGTGCTAACTGTAAAATTGGAGTTTTATTATCTTTACTATCTGTATTTGATAATTGACTGCTGATAAAAGTCTTAATTTCTCATTACAATTGTGGTTATATCAATTTCTCCTTGCATTTTTATTTTTATCAGTTTCGCTTTATGTAGTTTTTTGTTTTTTGAGATGGAGTCTCATTCTATCAGACAGGCTAGAGTGCAGTGGTGCGATCTCAGCTCACTGCAACTGCCACCTCCCAGGTTCAAGCAGTCCTCCCACCTCAGCCTCCCAAGTGGCTGGGATTACAAGCATGTGCCACCACACCCAGCTAATTTTGTATTTTTAGTAGAGACAGGGTTTCACCGTGTTGGCCAGGCTGGTCTTGAACTCCATACCTTTAGTGATCTGCCCACCTCAGCCTCCCAAAATACTGGGATTACAGGCGTGAGCCACCTCACCTGAGCACTTTATGTAGTTTAAAACTTCGGTTTTGTCCATGTCACTTCATAACTTTTACCAATATATCTTCATGTCATTGATTACTTTTCAACTTTTTTTTAAACTTCAAACATTTACAAGAATACAGAGACTGATATAATAAAGACTTACGTGCCCATACTATCACCCAGCCTCAACAATACTATCATCTGGTCCGTCTTACTTCACCCATACCCCCATCTACTAACCACCTGTCCCCACAGTACCCTGTCAGTTTTGAAAGGCAAATCCATATCTTCTAATCTGTAAATACTTAAATTTGTATCTCAAAAACATAAGAACTTCTTCAAAACATAAACGCGGTACTGTTACCATGCATAAAAAACAATTGAATTATGTTTGTCAAATATTACTGCCATACCTTTCTCCATCTGTCATTAGAAGGGTTGGGGAGCATGAACTCTGCATCACTCACACTAGTGACTAGTTCCAAATCCTGGTTCTTGGCCCATGATCTTGGGAAAGTTATCTAATTTTGCAGAATTTCAAGCAGCTTGTGTGTAAACTTACAGAGTTTTTGTGAGGATTATCTGAGATAACCCAAAGGGCAAGCACCTAGAAAACGGGCCCTCAGCAAACATTAGATCTCTTCCTCTGAACATAAGAAAGGAGAACTCATTTGCCTGGGATAGTCACTTAAGTTACTGGCAGAAATGGGAATAAAATTCAAGGCTTTCCACTTGTAACTCTCAAATTAGTGGTATCCAGAGAGCTGAATTCAGTGGCAGGGGTGGTTTTGCCTTAGGGGAGGTAGAAGATTTTCTGTGGAGGAGTTACGCGGCAACTGTCTACCGTTTGTCCTTATCCCAGTGTCTCTACCTTTGCTGGTTCCAGTAAACAGCACCAAGGGCTCAGTGCATATTCACTAGCTCACACATTTGACTGGCTATTAACTTCGAACAACGACATCTGCCCTGGTCCTACAAAGAAGGATTAGTCTTCAGGAAAATATTATTTCCTCTGCAAATACTGACATTGAAAGTATGACAAAATATAATTTCAAATTATTCTTATGCTTTGCCTCCTAAGCCAATGTTGATGTAGCAACAGGCAGGCAGGTTTGTATTTCAGAAAGCTTTTTTCCTGTGGTTAACATAATGAGGCGCTCTGTATTTGACAGAGGTATCCTAGAATATTACAAGGAAGTGAAAAGTCTGCTCTAGACTTTTCTAAACTTTTCATAGCATCTTAATATTAGGTTGGTGCAAAAACAGTTGTGGTTTCGCCCACTACTTTCAGTGGCAAAAACCATGATTACTTTTGCACCAACACAATATATCTACTGTAGTATACAAGCAGCCAACTTAGAATCATCCCATTTTCTCGGTCTTGTGATGAATTAAGGTGCAAAATCTCATTTATTTGGTCTGTTAACTTGTACCTACTCAAGTTTCTTACACTATAAAATGCTAAACAGTACTGATCCTAGATTGGAGGCCTGGCAGACAAAAGAACAAAAAAAAAAAAATCTGACATCTGGCACATCATAGTTACTACATGAACTCGAATACAATATGGATCATAAATTGAAATCATGTATGAGAAGTCATAAAAGCCATAAAGTTTTAGAAATAAACACTAAAGCCTGTTTCTGTGAGATAATGGCAATGGTATACAGAAGCAAAAACATGCAGAAGTACGTAAGACTGAAGAATAAGAACACTGAAGTTAGGCAGACCTGGGTGTAAATCCCAGTTCTTCCACTTACTGACAAAAACAGCCCATGTACACTCTCCAAATCTCAGTTTCTTTGCTGTAAAATGGTGGTTCCAGTGCCTACTTCAAAGTTGTTGTAGGGATTAAGTCAGATAATATATGTGAAGAATTTTAATTTTTCTTCTATTATTCATTGCTTAGCATATAATAGATATTCAATAAATAGTATTTGTGGCTACAGTGATGGAGGAAGAGGAAGAGGATGGTTTACTAGAGTGATCTTTTGAGTGCAGTGATCACGTTATTTAAACTTGTCTCCTCTTAGATCGTTACTGGAAACACTGCTAAGAGATGTACGATTGTAAGGCAACCTGTCCTATACTCTGATATGATTAACTACACCATTCCATCAATAACTCCATGGAGAAAAGTGCTACATCCTGATATCTTCTGTATATATGACTGGACTTTCATAAAAACAAGGCCCTGTTTAACTTGGTCATTTCCTGAAGGACATGATTTAATTAAATCTTCTTTTATACTTAATTCCAATATCATGTGGCACAAAATCAAGTATGTTTATCAAAATTAAGAGCCATTTACTTCTCTAAGAGTACAGAGACATGCTTTCCTTTTGCTTTTCCTAAATCCCACATTACTAGCTCAAAGCAAACCACCTGACTCTGCTTATATACCATATGTTAAACAATCCAATATTTATTGAGCATCTCTGATGAACGAAACTATAAGACAGACAGGAAGTAATACAAGATCTAGTTCCTATCCTTAGCAGAAGTAAATTTCTTAAATAAATCACTCCTTAATAAAAACAACAACAACAAAAATACCAGATTGCTCCCCAACTGAAATTGTCCTAGTGATTAGAACTGATCTTGTGAGATGCACATAAGAGTGAAATATACATCATAAGTCAGGCAGGGACACTATTAATACTCACAATGAGAATATAATGCCACAATCCCAGAATGAGTTTCAGGACGGTGAATAATTAAGGTTTCATAGCAAATTTCTTTATGAGTCGGTTGACTGTTAAATACTAAGTCACATGCTGCCACCGGACATTTTTACTTTGGGTGACACAGTATAAGGAAAAATGGTATGTCATTTCTCATGGAAAGCACTGAACATACAGAATAGTAGATATCAAAACGGAAAGAATGCTATTTTTAGAATAAATACCCATTCCCATGAATAGAAAGAAGCATCAGGTTAGAGTTGAATTCAAGGAAGGGAATTACATGAGACTTGTAGAGGACCTAAATTAGCTTAAAATGCTGAATAAGCAGTAAAGGAAAAACTACTATAGACTGAAAAACACAGCAGTGTAAAATCTTGGGAAACTGTTTGCCTTCACTCTAAGGCTTTGTTTAAACCTCTGCAAGGATGGCTGTCACTTGAAAAGGCTCCCCGAACTAGAACACTTATTACAAAGAATGTGCTTTGGAAGACTTATAACCTATACTTCTCAGTCTGTCTCAGATCAGTGCCTGAGTCTGTGACAATAGAGTACTTTTATACTGTGTACGGAGATGGAGAATCACATTTCTTTTCATTTAGAGTTAGCTCACATGAAAGAACCATTTCTTTACCCTCATATGGAGTCAAGAGGTTGGAGTTGAAAATATCAGGGCAAACAGACTGAACAAATCAGGATATAACTCAAAGTTCTTATAACTGATTCAAAATAGCTCCAAATCTTCGAAAGAAACTATTTTAAGGGATAAGAGTGAAGGTCAAATTCTATGCAGGTAATTTACTTTCAATCAAAAGAAAGAAGAGACAAAGAAAGATAAGGAAATTTGACTGAAATATACTGTAGCTGAAATCATGCAAATCACTTAAAAATAATAAGCTAAAGTAATTTATAAAATAATACTGAAAAATGTAACTTAGAAAGTAGAAATTTCCTAGGGAAAGTAACTGAC